ATTTGGGCGTTAAAGGGTTAAGAAAAAAATTCATTTTTGACAAAATGGCAACAGCCCAAACTCAACTTTTCAATGTTAACAAAAAAAAAGTTATTCAGCTGTAAAAAAGAGATTTTCATAAAAAAATAATCTACTTTAACTAAAGTCGTTTGAATTTTGTGTTTCAGATGAACCAGCTCCTTATAATCGTAGTCACTGCAAATTATACAGACCTCGACAAGATCGCGCACCACGCCTCCATTTTTAAAATTTTACTATTGGAAATTTTAGTTTAAATTGTGTACTTTTAGACAATAAATTGTTTTATTTAAAAATGTTAGTGGTCTTTTTTTTATTTAATTCATGAAAATGGTCAATTCTTGCGCGCTACAACTAGGGTTGCCCCCTTAACCCTAGAAGGAGTAACTAGGGTGTCTGGACACCCTACAAAATATTCAAAATACGCCTCGAACTAAAAAAATGATTTTTTCTAACACACGCACCGAAAGAACATCATTTCTCACCTATAAAGAGGGTGGAAAGTACGTCTTTCCCGGAGGCAGGGAGAGAATGTTACTTTCCCTCCCCGCTGTGATGTCACGGGGAGAGAAAGTAATATTTTCTTTCTGCTGCTATAATAATTTGTAATTTTTTTTAATAAATGCAAAATATAAAAAGAGCTATATATTTTTTAAGATTAAATATGTATCATATTGTTATTTTTTTAATTAATAATGGATTTTAAATAAATATTACAACAATAATAATTATTAAAATTGTGGTTAAATGAATTTATTTTTAATTGTCAAACATTCTTATCTCAATATAATCAGTATTGTGAATATTTGTTTCTAATAATCTAGGTAATAATAAATTAACATTATAAAATTATTAGTATTTATTTAAAAAAATTCCGTCAAATAATTGCATATTTGTACTTTTGTTTACGTGTGTTAGAAAAAATAGTATGTGCATCACGGAAGGAATAGTATATTGTGCACCTAGGGTGGAAAATAGTGATTTTCCCGAGGGTAAAGTTTGTAGATCGAGACGTAGTGAGCGTACGAGCCGAAGGCGAGTGCGAGCGAAGTCGAGAACTGCAAACACACGAGGCGAAAAAAATTACAAATTATTATAGCAGCAGAAAGAAAATATTACTTTCTCTCCCCGTGTCATCACAGCGGGGAGGGAAAGTATTACTTTTCCTGTCCGTTATGACGTCACGGGGAGGGAAAGTGACATTCTCTCCCTGCCTCCGGGAAAGACGTACTTTCCACCCTCTTTATAGGTGAGAAATGATGTACTTTCGGTGCGTGTGTTAGAAAAAATGATTTTCGCCTCGTGTGTTTGCAGTTTTCGACTTTGCTTGCACTCGCTTTCGGCTCGTACGCCCGCTACGTCTCGATCTACAAACTTCACCCTCGGGAAAATCACTATTTTCCACCCTAGGTGCACAATATACTATTTTCGCTTTCAAATCTTAGCCATTATTTTAAATTTATCAAAAAATGAATGAAACCATTACTTTCCTTATTAAGAAAGCAATCAAATTCACTACACACAATTTTTTTACGTCAAATAGAAACCTTGTAAAACAAGTTTAAAGCGTAGGGTGTCTGGACACCCCAGTTACTCCTTAGAGGGTGAGTAAATTCAGTTACTCCTTCTAGGGTTAATATTTGACTTGGAGGATTGACAATTTTCTTGATATTTTATATTATCTTTTATCGAGTGATAAATTCTACAACTATTTAGAAAATAAATTCGTCCTGAAACTGGTTTCAATGAAAAGTTTTGTCTTCATATAAACATGCGCGATTTAATTTTCGAAGAAACGAAAAATTTATCGCGCATATTTATCTTGGGTTATTTGAGAAGTTTGTGGTGCAACGAAGGTCCAGATTATCTAACAATTATGTATATCTCTAAAGACCAAAAACAAAAGACAAGTAAGGAGGAAATATTACAGAAATTACGACGTAACTAATATGTACCGCACGCTAAAAAAAGTTCTACTAAAGTAGAGATAACAATCACTATAATAGCTATAAGTTTCACTGATTTGGCTCCATCGATAATCCATTTTCGCTGATCCAGCGAAAATGATATTTCTTGCGTTACCTTTTGAAAACAACATAACCTCAAGATAACACTTGAATGAAAACATTTTTAAATTAATGTTCAAAGCGTATATTCAAATTCTATTAATTATATTTTTTATATTATAACTAATAAAATGTAAAATTAGTAAATTAATACGCCCAGAAAACAAACGTGCATCGCACGATGTCCGTCTCGCGAGAATGGCACTCGTGCGTGCACACTGCGAGCAAATAACATTCACGCACGTGATTAGCACGAATGCGCACACTAAAGCTATTCATATGCTTAGCTTTTTATAGTAACGCACGAAATGATTGCTTTTTGTGCCACACATGCGGACACATCTGTATGGTGTTATGAGAGCATACGTGATATTTACTGCGCACATATGAGTGCAAAATTCCTGCAGCACTGCAAGCATTTTGATATCTGGGTGTTTATAGAGGTAAGAAATGTAAATTTGACATTTGTGATTTTAGAGAAATTTCTATGAGAATGGTAAACTGTCAAATATTTCCAATATGGCTGACCAGTGAAATTCATTTTCTCTATATCAGAGAAACAGTTTGACTACTGCATTAAAAATCATTCACTGAATTAGTTGAATAGATTCTTTATGTTATTTATTTTCGAAATTAGCTGTTCCCCACACTAAAAATTTTTTTCCGTGCGAAATTTACAGAGTTGATGGAAAGACCTTTTGAAAAAATCAATTATGAACATTTATCTGCTCCTATGTTCAGAAAATAGTGAGACAGATGAATGTGAATTTTCTCACAAACCTGTCTTTCCATGCCTAGAATGGTTTAGCACAATTTTTTGTAATTAAATTTGGAAAAAATAGTCTAACCCACACGGAAAAAAAAAGTTCCCAGATATTTCAGGAATTATTTCCTAACTCTTGGATACGTGGTAACAGCTCTGAACTAGCGACGAACATTCAATGGTAATCAATGAATGTTTGAAAGAAATTCGGGAACTGTATTAGAAAAAGCTATAAATAGTCCATTAGTCTCTTTTTCATTACTTTCTCATGTAAAGTTCATGACACTGGCCGCAACTGTTTCTGAAATTTTCGGGAACTCGTCAAGGAATCTTGGTGCGCAGAAACTGTGCGCACCAGTCTCAACAAGTCTCCCCGTCAGTAAGACTTGCGTGCCTTATATATTTATTTTATGCTGAGGTATTTAACTCGCCTGTTTAGCTCAGCTGGATAAGACGCCGGACTTCTATTCTCGGGTACGCGAGTTTTGTTCCAGCCGCCGTCGATTTTTCTCTAATATGGTTTTTTCTATTTCAGAAACTTAATAAAAAATAAAAATTGTATGTGACCTTCAAGGATAAATGTGTGTGTGTGTGCGCACGTGCCAAGGAGGGGAAGTGGGAGGGGGGAAGCAGAATCCATTTTTTCTTGCATTCGCCTAACTTTTCGATTTTCTTGAACAGTTCCCGACTTTTTCAAGAACAGTTTGCCGAGAAGTGGTGAAATAGTTATAATTTGTAGAGAAATAGTAAATTACATATTTAAACGAGGCAACCTTTAGTTACCTGTGTACTACCCGCCGTATCCAAGAGTTAAGAACGAAGTTCCCGAATAATCTTCGAACTTTTTTTTTCCGTGCAAAAACAAGAGACGTTGACAACGACGAACGCAACAGACGACGACAACAAAAAATATACGCATGACAAAAAAGAAAGAGAATTTCTTCTTCATTTGTCTCGAGAACCGAGACAAATGGACTAGAAAAATAAGGAGTAAAAAGTATTCGACAACAGACAACAAATGCACAAAAATTTAGTATACTCATACCCAGATAAAAATCAGAAGAATAAAAGGGTTTTCCTACGAAAATGTCGCAAGATGAAGACAACTACCGTTGAATTGAGACAACGTATGTATGAATCTCGCGACATTTTTGAAAGAAAGCAAAGACAAAATAGCAAAAGCAATGATATTTTCAACTTACATTGGCCCATAAAAACCAAGTTTAAAACTGATTTAAACCTTTTAACGATTGTTTGACCCTTATGGCATTACTTTAATGTTTAATCAACCTTCGATTGTATATTTTCAACCCTAAAAGAAACCTTATGAACCTCAAAAGAACTTCTTAATTTTATGATTCTGAAATAGACAACCTTACTAACCTTCCTTTAACCCTAACATACATTACTTTCTTCCTCACCAACTTCGTTTGAAGCTAAAAAATTGATTTTCGAATCTCCTTTGTCCCAAAAATATCCTAAGTGTTTAAAGTGTTTAAGTAAGTGTTTAAAGATGTTTAGCTTAGTGGATATGAAGAGGTATATATATATATATATGATATATATATATATATCATATATATGTCGTAGGCCGATAGAAGAATCAGGCCATTAGCTAATAGCCTGGGTTATTTTCTAATGGCCGGCCAGTAGACAAAATCATTTTTAAATGTACTTGTAACTTCTACTTGCCTAGAAAAATCAGACTATTAGCTGAATATTGTGCTAATGCGCTACTGGACTGATATTCTTTAGACCGTTAGAAGAAACTCTGTTTATATTATAATTCAACACTTGTTAATTAATAGAAATATTTGTAATTGTCTAATAAGAAAACAAGGTAGGTATTGTTCTTACATTTACCAAAGAGAAAAATTTTGAAAATAAATTTTAGTTCTGAAATAAATTTTGTTTGATTCAGTCACAATAATTATGACGGAAAATATCGTTAGTCGCGCTGAATTCGAAGCTAAATTATTTAGCTATTATGAAAAAAAAAGGAGGCAAGTAATAGATCAGTGTGGAATAAAGTGCATGAGTTGAATGTAATTTCGTCTCTTATGGAATGTGATAAAAAAAATATAAAAAGCCACCATTACCACTATTCGAAATTGTACGAACTTTTTAAAATCGGAAGTGAAATGCGCGTGATAATGAAAAGAAGTGATCCTAGTCAACCCACAATTTTTATGGTAGCAATTGAGGATTATTATGATAAGCTTTCGGAAGCACACGTTCGCACAGGTCATGGTGGCCGAGACAAGATGATGTTCTATTCCAAAGATAAATGGAAAATTTCCAAAACAGCTTGTCAAATGTTTGTTTCATTTTGCAAAACTTGCGATAGAATACGCGCGGCTCCAAAAACTGGTGTAGTTATTAAGCCCATTGTTTCTGACGGATTTAATATGCGGGGGCAGGTGGACCTTATAGATTTGCAGTCATGTCCTGATGGAGATTACAAGTGGCTGTTAAATTATCAGGACCACGCTACAAAATTTTTACATCTTCGACCGCTAAAATCTAAGCACCCAATAAATGTAGCGCAAGAGCTTAAAAAGATTTTTTTTTTCGTGGGGAGCTCCGCAGATACTGCAAAGTGATAATGGCAGAGAATTTGTAGCTGCAGTAATTCATGAACTTGTCTCTCTTTGGCCCAATACGCGCATTGTGCATGGTCGTCCTAGGCACCCTCAGAGCCAAGGTAGCGTAGAAAGAGCCAATGCCGATGTTGAAAATATGCTGAGAGCATGGATGTTGGACCATAATTCAACAAATTGGAGTGAGGGATGCTATGAAGTGCAGGTAACTTGTTTGTAATTTATTTACTCATATGAGCATTTTATTTCTTTGAATAATTTTTTATATTTATATATTAATTATATCTTTTCTTTAACTAATACTGTTAAGTGAACATTTTATTTTTTAAAATAATTTTTTATATTTATATTAATTATATCTTTTCTTTAATTAATACTGTTAAGTATACAACATTGTTTAGTTAACATATTTTTAAAATTCATTAATGTTTCTTATTATAGTGGCAAAAAAATACATCATTACACCGTGTAATAAAGAGAACTCCTTATGAAGCAGTACTGGGACCCATTAGATGTGGTTTGCAAACTACTTCCTTGCCCGATGAGATTTTAAACACTTTACACACTGAAGAACAATTGACAAACACTATCAATGAATACAATTCTAATTTACAATTGAAAAGGTAAACAAAAGTAATAAGCTTCGATTTTGTTTTATTTTACAGAAAAATTATTATTATCTTCACTAATATTTTTATAAATTTATTATTAAGTTATTAATATTAATTTATTAATTATTATTATTATCTTTAATATTAATTTATAATAATTTATTATTAAGTTATTAATTTATTAATTATTATTTTTATCTGTACTATTATTTATAATAATTTATTATTAAATTTTTAATATTAATTTATTAATTATTATTATTATCTTTACTATTATGTATAATAATTTATTATTAAATTTTTAATATTAATTTATTAATTATTATTATTTGTACTATTATTTATAATAATTTATTATTAAATGTTTAATATTAATTTATTAATTATTATTATTATCTTTATTATGCTAAATGTTTATTTTATTTTTAGCGTTTACGAAACGGAACCTACTATTTCGGAAGCTTGTCGTGAAGTTGCTGTTGAAGCAAGTTCTTCAGAAGAATCTGCAGTTAATGCAATTCAAAATTCTAATCGAGCAAATTGTTCAATTTGTCAAATGCACATCGACGACGATTTTGGAAAACCATCGACAAGTGATGAACAAAATTTGGTTTGTTCATTATGTGCAAGAGGGAAACGATTAAAAGAGGTGCAAAATGACTGCTTTAAACGCCAGATAATAGCAGCGGAGAAGATGGTAACATTTTCTGAAGCTACATTTCCTGCCTTAAACATTGGCGATTCTATTTCCTTAGCTGTTCCAACTGTTGATCGCGGACCATTAGATTTTAGTAATATTCTTGGAGTTATAACTGATTTGAAAAATAACGTGTATCAAATTAGTACAAAACATGGTATTATAAAAGGGTGGTTTCCTAGAACAGACATTCAAAGAGTAGAAACTACTGTTTTATTGGTAAATGACGTGCCTACTGGTGAATATCTAAGTCTACGAGAAGCTGCATCTCTTCAGTCCCTAAGTGGAGGTCAGGGATATAAGAAATGCAATTGCAAAGTTAGCGAACAGCAGTGCAGAACGAGAAGATGTGCTTGCTTCAAATCAAATATTCTGTGCAACTCACGATGCCATATGAGTTCGTCGTGTTGCAATAAATAAAATTTAAATTGATTATAAAATAAATTTATACATTTAAATATAAAATCGTTAAATTATTATTACCTATACATTATTTTTTAATGGCCTAAAAATTGTCAGGCTAGTAGCCATAGTCTACTGGCCTAGGCGTTTGTCTATTGGCCGGCTATTAGCAAATAGACTAGGCTTTTAGCTAATGGCCTGATTTTTCTATCGGCCTACGACATATATATATATATATATATATATATATATATATATATATATATTATATGATATCATATAATATATCATATAAATATATACACAAAATATAGTTTTGGGATTTCCAAATTTCCCACCCAAAAGTTTACTATAGTAAAAACACAACTATACACGGAAAAAAATTTCCTGTGAAAATTACAAGATTTCCTGTGTCATCTATGAACGGCGGTTGTAGTATCCACAAACGGCTGAGTTTGGGAAATACACAAACCAGAATGAGTATTGTCACAAACTTCAGTTTATGATTCAACAACTTAAACAGTCACGCAGCAGACGACAAGCAGACGTTCACTTGAATTTTCTTGCGCATGCGTGGATTTCTTGGTGTTATAACAGATTGGTTTGTGGTACACACAAACCAGCTTGTTGGAAACAGAAAACTCGCCTGCATAAAGCACAACTTAACCTATTTGTATATTTTACGAAAAAGTTTGTGTTTTCTATAAGAAATTTTTTTCCGTGTATCACATGGCCTAAAACTCATTTTGCAGTTAGTTTTTCGTCAACTACGACAAGGTTTGCACTCATTTTTTGAAAGTGTCGAATAAAATTTGATTTAAACAAAATTTATGTAATAAAAATATAAAAAAAAACAATTTTGTGCTTGGGTGGTGGGTGACAAGTAAGATGAAAACTATCAAGGAGTAGGTGGACCCTAATGAACAGAAATCAAAAGGTTAATTAGCAAGGATTGTAATGTTTGGAGGTAAGTGATATTTATTTTGTGTAATAATATTAAATAACTTCAAATATTACGGGTATTAGGCGTAAAAACACAATATCCATTGTTAAACCTACATTAAAAAAATTATTTGAATCAAATGTTATATTACTGAGGCAATAATGAAACGATATTATACCTAGCATTTTCGCATAGTATTAAATATTTTGTATTTAGAACAAATATTATAAATTATTTCAACGTTGTCTCCAGGTCATCACAATAAAAATTACCGCTGTAATATTGAATTTGAATGACAATACTACCTGAATATTTTCGAGTATCGACACTACAATGTCGCCATGCTTTATTGCTTCAAGTCGAATATAACATTTGCAAAAATATTGGCAATATTTCTATGCAATATTAATCTATTTTATTTATTGTTTAGAATGGACAAGAAGATTGTTAACTGGATGATGTAAAGCTGACAAGGGCCGATTATATATCAACATCATGAATAAAAAAGATTCCAACAAAATATATATATAAAATACAAAAAGAAAAAAGAGCAATAATATAAAAAAATTCGAATTAAGTGAGAAACTTAATAATAATGTTTGTTGTAACTTTTAAAGTTTAATTTAATTTAAAATGTAAAAACTATAATTGTAAAAGTAACAAATAAAAAATTCATAAATCTGAAAAACGTCATTTTCTTTTATTTAATCCTGCTTGGCAATAAAATAGGCCATAAATATGGATACACTCCAGACGCTACCTTAAGCAATCTTAACCCTACATGTATGTGCTTCATTAGCAGGTATAAATCGCACTGTCGAACCTTCTATCAAACTTTTGAGGCTGCAAAATAAACCTTACAACACTATAATCAACTAGAAAATAGAAAAAACTGGACGAAAGTGACAAAATTTAGCCTGATTGTAGCTTCGTTAGGAGCAAATATCTATTATAAGTCGGTTTCAAATGAATATTATAAGATTTTTAAGGGGTAAAGAATAGTAGATTCAAAGCATGTTGAAAGTAGGCTGAAAATTTTGTCTCGGGAATACATGTAATTTTTCGTGGAAATCACAAAAAGTTTTTTCTAGCTTATACAAACTTATTTACAATTCTTTAACTTTGGGTTCTTTTAGTAGATGATAAGAGGTGAAACTTCCAATTTTTCCAAATTTTTTTGAAAGTATTTAGGAGCCGTACACATAATACGTCACGCGGCTAGGGGGAGGGAGGGGGTCTGAGAATTGTGACTAAGTGTGACATGGGGGAGGGGGGGTGAACTCATGTGTTACGTCACAATCTTTTAAATTCAAAGATTATAAGAAATTATATGTGACAATGTCACTTTTTCTAAATAAAACAAGTTAAAAATGCTTTAAACTATTTAATATCTATTATGTACCTATTTAACATCTATTGGTTTATTATTTATAATATAATATGATAAATAATATATTCTCTTAATTTGAATCAGTTAAAAATCTTGGTTTTAACTGACAATCAGCAGTGACTGACTTTTTGCTTCTGAATCAGTTAAAAAAATAACTGAAAAATTATCCACAAAACACCGAAACTTTTCTAAATATGTATTAAATTTGCTTGCATACTTCGAAAAATTTACTCGCAAAGTTTAGTTAAAATTGTGTAAAGATTTAAATTTTTTACTACAATAAATGTTTATCGTCAAATTTTCTTAAAAATATAGCTTGAAACATTCCTGAACATTTTAATTACATTTTCGACTATAATTTCGTGAATATTTTCAGGAAAGTTTCGCGTTAAACATTTATTGAAGTGGGATATTTAAATCTTTACACAATTTTCACTAAACTTTGCATTTAAATATTTCGAAGCTTGCGAGTAAATCTTTAATAAATTTTTAGGAAAGTTTCGGTGATATGTAGGTAGTTAAACGTGACTAAATGAATCAATCAAAAAAAATTGTATTGAAACATCAGTTATTTTTAACTGATTCAATAATTTTGAGTGTAGGATATAATATATAATGTCAAATATATAAAATTCACATTAAAATTTACGTGTGTGACGTGAAGTTATAGGGGGAGGGGGGGTTCAAGGTTTGTGACGAAGTGTGACATAGGGGGAGGGAGGGGTTAAAAATGGTCAAAAATCGCGTGACGTATTATGTGTACGGCCCCTTACTCCATTTACAAGTTTGATGAATATGGCGCTATCACAGTAAACAGGACTATATATTAACCCTTAGATGCATAAATTTATTCATTCATTTAAATTTGACGAAACTCGGTACTGGGGGGTTTTCGGGTCGCTGATTACGAATCTGAGGTCATTTTGAAAAAAATTCAAAATGTCGGATCCAATATGGCGGACATAAAAAATAAAAAGTCGTTCAATTGGACTGAAACTCGATACTCGGGGGCTTCTGGGGTCGCTGATTACAAATCATTTTGAAAAATTCAAAATGTCTGAGCCAATATCGCGGATATTCTTACTCGTTCTTTGCGTTTCTACTCTCTAAATCTGAATATGTGAAATTTCACTTATTGTACGTTATAAGTCGTCCTCTCGATCAATAAGTGCATATACACTTATAAATAAGTGAATTTTTCACTTATTCTGAGTGAAATTTCACTTATTATAAGTGTATATGCACTTATTGATCGAGAAGACGACTTATAACGTACAAATATGTGAATTTTCACATATTCAGATTTAGAGAGTAAGATTTTAAAAAGAAAATTTTGAAATGCCATTGAAGGCTGAGTATCTCTGCCTTTCAGAAGAGAGAAAATGTTTTCTGGAATTTCATATAAATAGTTGACTAAGAGGTCCTTCTCAGTTTTAATATGTGCCATCGAAAAGAGACTACAAAAAAAAAACAAAAAAGCAAAAAAATTAAAAAACGAAAAAAAATAAAAACAAAAGAATACAAAAAAAATAAAAAAAAATAGAAGTAAAATCTCCTCACGTCCTCGTCGCCAGTTCCGGGTAACGCTAAGAACGATTAACAATATCAGCAATATTGGCTCCGACATTTAGAAATTTTTAAAAATGACCTTTTTAAAATTATTCGTAATCAGCGACCCCAGAAACCCCTGAGTATTGAGTTTCAGTCCAATTGAACAACTTTTTATTTTTTATGTCCGCCATATTGGATCCGCCATTTTGAATTTTTTTCAAAATGACCTTAGATTCGTAATCAGCGACCCGAAAACCCCCCAGTACCGACTTTCATTAAATTTAAATGAATGAATGCATCCAAAGGTTAATATATAGTCCTGTTTACTGTGATAGAGCCACATTCATCAAGCTTGTAAATGGAGTAAATACTTTCAAAAAAATTTGGAAAAATTGGAAGTTTTACCTCTTATCATGTACTAAAAGAACCCAAAGTTAGAGAATTGTAAATAAATTTGTATAAGCTAGAAAAAGCTTTTTGTGATTTCCACGAAAAATTACATGTATTTTCTATTTAAAATTTCAGTCGACTAGAGGCACGTGTTAATATTGTTCGATTTGCTTCAAACTTTCAGGAAAATTTTTTTTTTATACCTTGATTAATTTTTTGGGGTGAGACCGAAGATTTGAAAACATCGCCCAAATAAGAACCACCCTAGTATGTATATATATATACTATTTAAGAGGAAACTTGGCTTACAAAAGCAAGGGTATAAATAATGAACCGTGGATAGTGGAAGGCCTCACCGCCAGAAGCGACAAACCAACATTTTCGAAACTAATCATGACAAAGCTATTACTACAGAGTGCAACTCTAAGAAACACCTGTCTTGCCCTCTGATATATGAACATGAAACAAATAAAATAGTTAATAGCACAAGTTATATCTTGCAGACAATAAAACAACGATAAACTCTATCCAAAAAAAATTGTTCCTAAGAAATCTTGTTTAATCAACTCGAGATCTATTTCTCTGTCAGACGGTATGTAATAACTTTAGTATTATTTTATTCTCAGTCTAAAATTAGCAAAAAAAAATTTTCTAATTGAAATTTCTAGGTATAGATAAATTATCGTGGCAAAGTGGCGACGCGAATTTATCCACCAGCTTGTCCAATTACACAGTGACCAATCA